AGAGAGAGAGAGAGAGAGAGAGAGAGAGAGAGAGAGAGAGAGAGAGAGAGAGAGAGAATATGCACCTAGCACGCGTTAAATCTCTCCCTCTACCCCTATCCTCTCTGAAGTCCCCCAACACCGCTGAGTGTTTACAGTCTACTGGGGAGGGATCACAAGTAAGAAAGACGTTGACTGACAAATTGCGAGAAAGGCGGGTGGGTGCCGGTGAGTACCGCATCCCATGCGGGCTTCCTCCCGCAGTCTCCGATGGTTGGCTTTCTCTGTTTGCCCTGTGGGTTTTCTAGAGAGCTTCCCTATTCCCACTTTTCTTTTCCACTCCTCTCCATATCTGGAGTGGTGAGGGTGAGGGGGTGTGGGAGATAAAGCTGGTTAACTGAAGGCAAATAAATCCTGACCAGGCCCAGGATGCACACTCCAGCAGCCCATTGTAAGGTGTGCGATCCGGCGGGAGGCCGTGGGAGACCGCTCGAGCCCCCACTGCGACTCTTTCCTGAAGGCCAGGCGCCGCGCCGTGCTGTTCCCACCCCCGTGAAGCCCCGACCCTTCCTCAAATTTGCACTGAGACTCGGCTTTCTGACCTGAAACTTAGCTGGGGTCCACTAGCCGTGACGCCAGTGTCTGATTTCCTTCCTCCAAACTTCACAAATGCAGTTTTAAGCCTCTCCAAACCACCTCCAGCGGAGACGCTGAGATTTAAGAGACACATTAAGTAACATTAAGATCCTAATCAAAGGCAAAAGATGTGTGCGTGACCCTCGTTGGGTAAAAGTGGGAGCCCTAGACGAGCTCTGTAGCCAGAGCATCACCTAGTTGGAGGATTATCAGCCTCTGACAGGATCGTTGCAAGTCATCTGCACTGGAAACGGGGGTAGGAACTAGAAAAGGGGCCGCAGGAGGAGAGAAAAAGGGGGAAATAAAATCGAGATAGCGGAAGAGACAAGAGAAAAGGAGAGAAGAAAAAAGAAAGGAAGAGAACGCGGGAAGAAGGAAGAGACAGCAGGAGCTAGCGCACGCCGCGTTTGGAGCCCCGCCAGATAGCGCTAGAGGGCTATTTATTGCAATCCTTTCCTTCTGCGAGATGGTGAAGCAGCTAAAATTGGGAGAGATAAGAAATAAGGACGGGCAAAAGGAAGTAAAAACAATGATTCCATTCCATCCGATTCAAAAATACATTGTGGGGTGCTTTATCGTTATTAATTGAGAGGAGAAAAATATATGGTAGAAAGCCTAAGTAGGATAAGGACCAAAAAATAAACAAACAACCACCACCATCAACAAACCAAGGAAACAAAAAAAGTCCCCTTCCGTCTGTTGATCCCAGTTAGAAAGAGAGTGAACAAAGTTAACAGGTAAGGAAGTGAATGGAATTCATTCTAGTCCAACTTTCAGAGCTGCTGGTTACACTGCTGGGAAGGTCAAGAACAGTTCACCAGGATGAGCCAAGGTTTATGGAGAAGAGATGTTTTAAAAGTAATAGACGGCTGCAAGGGATGGGAAGGGAGAGACAAACACGATATTGGAAAAGCCAAATAAAATATATATCAAAAATTCCAACTGTCAGCCAGCAGGTCTGGAGCAGAAGACAGCCCCACTGCCTTTGTCCCAGAGATGCTGGGCTAGGCTGTTTCTACAGGGCTGCAATCAAACTCCTTGAATAACAATTTAGAAATACTCTGGGAAGCTTGGAGAAAAGAGCTAGACTACGAAAATTTTCTGTCTCGTTCAGAACTCAAAGAAAAGTGCTGCAGATAGAGAAGAGCTGGTAACAGGTGTAGTCCAGACACAGAGAAAAAGAATAAAATATTTTTGATCCCGTTTACTTGCTAGTTCAGTAATGCAAGAAAGAAAACTTCTTTCAAATGACAAGTGTTGGTTTGGTTTTATCCCCAAATCCCTGGCATCTCACACACTTAGCTCCTCATTTTAAAACTACACTTTCCTTTTACCTGAATAATTTTTCTAAAATCAAAGTAACAATTCATATTTTTCTTCCAAGCCAGTAAACAGAACCTCCTCAAACAAAAATTAACCTTGCAGAGAGAAACAAAACAAAACAAAAACTGCTTAATCCAAAATATTCCAAATCAAAACATTAACTAAAGTTACAAACAAGATTAAGGTTGGATTTATTTGCTCCTCTAGCAAGGCGCCAATTGTTCTAACTGTTGTAAGAAGACAAAAAGGATTTAAACCCAGGGATTCTAATACACTTCAGACCTCACCGTTCTGAAGAATTTGGAGTTATCTGTTCTAAGGATCTATAACTTTGGGGGGGGGATAAAAAGAAACAGCCACACAAGCTCCTTAAGGAGTGTGGGCAAATTCACCTAAAATAGAGTCTAGGGTTCATAAATAGGGTTCATAAATGTTCGTCTAATATTAAATACTCTTCATAAAGCCAGTGCCCTTTAAATTAAGGAACTATAGTGGGACTCAATTATTCCATTTAAATCTTAAATGCTACCTATAATAGCATTCCATATTGGGTAAAAAAGAAAAGGAAAATTTTTTAAAAATGCAGTTTTCAGAAGTCTTGGGGATGCTTCAGTAAGAAAGAGGTGATTAAAAACAGACTCAAATTTGAGACGCCCTATTCCCCCTCCCATTAACCCCCACCCGCTTGGTCCCCTCCCTTTCACCTCTTTTTTAATGCAGTACCCCCACCCCCACTCCAGAGCTGAGTAGCTGATTTGGGATTCTGAAGAAATAGGTTTCACCATCCATATTTGTTCTGGGGCACTTGTAAAATGCGATTTGTAGAGCGTCTTTAGCCTTCTGATTGTCTTTGAATTGTTTTTACTGAAACAGATCTTTTGCAGTTAATGAGTCCCCACGCAGCTGGACAGCTCCTCTCGGACACTGAGAACTCTAACCCCAAAATGACCCCAATTTGACACCGCAAGATGAAATTTTACCGCCTGTTAAAACCATTTCCAGCCTGGGCAGAAGGAGCTGACTGTTGACGGAGGTGTGTGCCGCCTCCTGCGACCCCCATCTTGCGCCTGTTTCCCGGGCCTGCCCCACCTAGTTTCCCTTCACTCCAAAAGCAGGAAAGCAGATGAGCCTTGCAACGTGAGTGAGGGTGCCAAGGCTGCAAAGTACCACCAGGCTAGAAATCAGAAAGTCTGAGTACCCTACTGGCTTTGGAATCACTTCTATTGGGCTGGAAAACTAGGAATGGGGGGGGGGGGAACCAGAACATTCTTGAATGTTAGATGAGCCTTTTCAGGTCTATTAATAAAACACTCGCAAGTTGCTGATTAAAAGTAATAATCCTTTGGATTAATCAGATTGACCAAGAACCAGTACCCCGAGTCAACTCCAACTTAATCTCCTGTGTTAATCCACACTGGGACTGCTATTCTAAACTAAGTTTCAAAAATGACATGCAGCTGGGTAAGTGAAATCTCTTTAGCTGCAAGAAATTGGGGGTTCTCCCCTTAGGCAACTGGTGAATTTTAAAAAGAACACAGATTTCCTCCAGCAGGGCTGCACTTTCAACAGTCACACTTCTTAACTAAAAGTCTCTGGGGTTAAAGATTATTATTTTTTCTTTGACAATATCTTAAGATATAATATTTCTCTCTCCTTCCTACACCTAACCAGATTGTCCCTGTTGTTTGCTTTAATGTATTCAATAAAATGCAAACGAAGTTACAGAATATTAGAGAGAGTGAGAGAGAGAAAGGAATTCAGGTTAAAATGCCTTCTGCATAGCCCAAAGGATGAAAACACATGAAAATAGAGTTTACACTTTTCTTCTTTTGTAAAACCCAATATTATCGCTGGATAATCAACCTGTTATTAGCTTGACAATTGTTTGAAAATATAGAAATCATCAATCTGTCTGTCCTGTTTTTACTCAGTCGCACTGCCACGGAAGAAACATTTTTTTAATGCTAGTAAAGTTTTTCAAAATGAAGGCTAAAGTATCACTATGGAAGGCTTTACAGTATCACTATGAAAAAAGAAGCGGTTGTAAAAGAAGCAGAGAGGTAGCAACGTTGAATGTTTAAGCTCTGCGATGCAGAGGTTTGTTATGAAGTTGATCTTTACAAAAGAGCGTTTATCGAGGAAACTGAAGAGTCTCTTTTAAAAAGAAAAATAACTGGCGTTTACTTAACAGGACATTTAAAACAACAATAATCCTATTGGCGCAAATAAATACCAATATTGAATTTAAGGACAATCGGAAGAGGAAAATCTTAAAAACTGAGTATAAACTCATGCAGCAGCGCTGCGCCAGGGACTTGGACCCACCAACATCAATATCTCTGCAAAGTCGAAAACGCTCCGCAGCGAGAGCAGATTGGATTTTTCTCTCTCGCATCCTTCCCGCCCCGGCTAAACTGAATTCTCATAACAGCCTCTTGAAATAAAATTCTGGAGACCAACTTTTTCTTTTCTTTGCGTCTTCTTTTTTACTCACCTTTTCTAATATGCCGACGAGCAACTCAGCAACAAATAAGGAGGATACTTTTAATCTTGGAGTTCTTCTAGAAAAAAAAAAAAAAAAAAAAAAAGGGGTGGAGAGGAAAGGACCCTCCCCCAACCTTCAGGTTTCATACCCGTCGGCTCTTGCAGGCTTGTAGCCTGGCAAAAAGAGTGGCTGAAAATCTGGGCTAAACTGTTCTATCTGAAGCTCCGCGAGCCTGGCCGTCCCCGCTTGGGCCACCCGGGCAAAAATCTCGCGGTCCACCGTCCCTCTCCCTGGCGTCGCGCTGTCCGCGCCTCTGCCAGCCCCTCCGTACTATCTTTCTTTATATGTGAGGGCCGATTTCCCGCAGACATCATTGTTATGATGGCTCATTTAATCAAACTGTTTAATTGCTCTGGTAATCACTATCATCATCACAGGTGCTCAATCATTCATCATTTTTGGAGGGCTTTATTGACCTCCGGAGCTCATTCCCCAGCCCTATTAAAACGAGGCCAAATTTCTCAGACTCCGCTTAGAGTCTCCGCAAGCTGCGATCTTAGCCTAGTTTGTGTTGCCCGAAAGCTTACAGTGAAGCAGAGAATATGGAAAGGGGGCCAAAAAAAAAAAAAAACCCTTCCACCCGCCCTCTCCTCTCCACCCCACCCCTCTTTTCTCACGCACGCGCGCGCGCGCACTCGGTACGATACTTGATTCTCCCTATCCCCAGGACCCGGGAGAGTCGGGTCAAAGCCAGGCGCAGAGGATACGCCACTTTCTATTTTACAGAATGAGTTCAAAGTTGGGGAGGGAGGCAGTGGTTGAAGAACAGTCTGTTTTCGATTCTCTGGGCCGGGGACCGTGAACAAGGACAAGAGCGAAAAGTTGGGGAGAGGGCGCGCTCGCAACGCAAGGCCTGGCCGCGCCGCCGAGAGCCGGGGGCGGCGGGGACTGCTGGGCGGTGCGTGCGGTACGACCGTAGCTCCGCCCCCAGCTCGGGATCGGCGTGATTGACGCGCGGCCGCCGGGAAGCCGGCCGCGCAGAGGTGAAGCTGGGTGCAGCTTGGGCCAGGGATTGGAAGAGACACCGGCCAGAACTAGTTTCCACACAAACGGGGTGGGGTAGTTACCTTCCTTTCCCACTCTCCTTTTTCTTTTCGGAAAAGTTCATTCGGAGCCGTCCCCATCTTCCCGACCCCCGAAATCGCCCCAGTGTATTTAACACAGCCATTAGCGGGCGTTACCACGGCCCGGCAGCTGCGCCTCGGGCGAGCATAACAAAGCTGGGCAGGGAGCGCGGGCCACTCCTCCTCGTGCAGCATCACTGTCTCCCCCTCTTTTTCTCTTTCCGTCTTTCCCTTCCGTGCTTCCCAGCTCTAAGTGAGATACACTTTGGAGGCGCACACCAGTCGCGCGCGCGCGCACACACACACACCCTTGGCTACACGGACCAGATCAAACACCAAACGACTCCCTCCCCGCTTCCTCCCTTCTGATTCCGCCGCGGTCCCCAAAGACTCTCCGGGGTGGCCCCTTATCCACATCGCTCGGAGGGAGTGCGCTCTGAGCTAAGGTGGTCTCTCCTTGTCCTGGAAAAAATGAATATTGACAACAAGAGTCCTGGATCTGCACATGGAAGAAAGTGCCACTTGGAAAAAAAAAAAAAAAAAAAAAAAAAAAAGTCTAGCCCGGCGGTGGTACCGTCTGCAGAGCCAGCTGCCCTTGGATGTTAGCGGGAAGCCTCCGGGGCGCGGTAATAGGCGCGCAGAGGGGCCGCGGAATTAAAAGGAACAAAAGCGAGAGCGCCATGCCAAACGTCCCCGACACGACCCAGTTAGGCAGGAGCCGGGATTGATGGGAAAATAAACTAGAAGTAAGTTTTTTTAAAAAAATAAAAGAAATAAAAGAAAAGATCTGAGGCGGTACCGTACTTTCCCTGTGGTTTTCTGCAGTTTTCCTCTCTGCGCTCTCCCTGTCCTCTTCTCTCCCTCTCATTCTCTCTCCCTCTCTCTCCCTCTCTTCTCTGTCGTGCGGGAGCGCGCGCGCGTACACACACACGCGCGCGCGCGCACACACACACACACACACACACACACTCTCTCTCTCTCTCTCTCCCCCCCCCTCTCCCTCCCCCCTCCTCCCTTCTTCCCCCGCCATCCCCGCGGAGGAGCAGGCTCGCTGATTTGCTCGGGTCCACCCGGCTCTAGCCTCCCCTCCCCCTCCTGTCCCTTTACCTCCCCCGCCCCCCCAGCCAGGGCCGTCCGATCGCACTCGCTGCATATCAGAGGCTCGGCGAGGCGCGCTCCTCCTCGCTCCCGCTCCCCACTCCCGGGATGTGTCTCCGCCGTACGACGGGCTATGGCCACCACGACTTCCGGGTTCCGTCATTTCGTTCTCCCGCCGCCGACCCGCGCCGCCAAACTGAGGCTCTTCTATAAGCCAGGCAGCCGCCAACCTGCCAACACCTACTGACACTCACTCATCTCCCAGAGAGAGAAAGAGAGCGAGAGAGCGAGCGCGAGAGAGCGAGCGCGAGTGAGAGCGAGAGAGCGAGCGAGAAAGAGAGAGAGGGAGAGACAAAATACCTACCAGGAAAGGGGGGGAGGAAGTCCAATTTTTGCAAACTATTCATTTTTTTTTTTCTTGATTTTCTCCTTGCTTTCTTTGAACAATACTTGAGAGAGGATCGTATTATAGATATCGTGGGGGCAACGCTAAAAGAGGGGGGAGGGGGAGGAAAAGATTCAAGAAGCAGAAACCCCTCGCGGAGTTTTACTGGAAGAAAAAAAAAAAACGGGTCTGAAAGATTCCTCCTCTTCATCATCATCAACCATCATTCATTCACTACCTTGACATTCCGGGCTTTGATTGACAGCTGGAGTGGCAAAAAGCCATGAAACACGACAGTTCGGTTACATGTGGGCTGCTGACGGGCCGCTCGTAACCTTCAGTTCGGGGGCTTGACAATTTTTTTCTTCTTTTTCTTCTTTTTCTTTTCTTTCTTTTTTTTTTTTTTTCCAACTGAGGGGAAGAGAAGAGAAAGAGGGGGAAAGGAGGACCGAAGAGAAGGAGGAGGGGTGGGGGGAGGAGGAGGTGGAGGAGGAGGAGGAAGATCAGGAGAGGAGGAAGAAGAGGAAAAAAAAGAGAAAAAGAAGAAATATCACAGAAAAAAAAACTCTTCGTTGTCTTGCCTGGGCTTTTTTCTTTTTTTCTTTTTCTTTTTTTTTTTTTTTTCTTTTTTCTTTTTTCCTAAAAATAACATATTGGAGAACTGGGAGAAGTCTCCTTGGTTTGGAAAAAAAAAAAAAAAAAGGAATCTTCAGCCTAGATCACTTTCTTATCCGGACTGGGATATTAAATATACGACACATCCAGGAGTTTATTGGAGCGCAGACTGATGGCGCAAAGGGTAGGTTTAAATCTCCAACACTTACCTAGATATAAATCCTCTCCTAAGAGGGGCCTGTCCCGATGCCTCCTCTCCCTTCAACGCTGCTGCTGCTGCTCGCTGCTTGATGATGGCGGCCAGTATTTTAAAAAATAGCAGCAAAATTATTCATCGGCTTCTTTCCCCCCCGTGCCTCTGCGTGTGTGCGAGTGTGTGTGCGTGGTATAATGTATGCTATACGAAGTTATTACGAGCAATAAAAAAAATTCGACTACAATATTTCAAATAATCGACATTGATGTTTTGATACATCATTTTTATACTCCAAATCGATCTATCACTCTGCAGCTGGTCAATTTTAAATAAAAATGGGCTGCAATTATTTACACCTTAGCTAATGATGACCTAATAACAGTCCTCAATTAATTACAACTGAGCTGTGCTTTCTTCCTTCAGCTATGGGGGTAAGGGGCAATTCTTGGGGAACAGAACCTATGATTGTGCCATCCTTACCCCTCTTTTCTATTCTATTTTTGCCATGTGGAGAGGGGTAAGATTTCAGATTTTGGCAGGAGTCTTTGGTTGAACACAGATACCACAGGCTGAGGTCCCCTCACCTGAAGTATCCTCCTCCTGGGTCTGTATTAGGGATATGGTCCTTACTTTTACTTTGCAAAGTCAAAACTAAATGCCATCATAACTCTCCCTCAGGCCCTATGTCCTTTCCTCTGTTTCAAGGACTAGATGGAAGAGATTTGCTCAAAGGGAGGCTTAGAGATTTCTTTCAGACTTAAGAGTGTGAGGGGTGTGTGTGTGTGTGTGTGTGTGTGTGGCGGCTCGGGGCGGGCGCGGGCTGCGTAGGAGCCGCCGCCGGGGCCGCGCTGCCGCAGCCGCTGCGCCGCCGCCTAGACTAAGCCTGGGCTTCTTGTTTTGTCTCTGAAATTGACAAGGACGCAGGGAATCCGCTGCTAAATAATGTTTCTGGTAACTTTCACGTTATTCCCCCCCCACCCTCCGCTCCCTGCCCCCGGGGAGGCACTGGCCTTAGTCTTCTCTCGTCCTCGGCGTTCTCGTCCTGATTATTAGCGTTTTTCTTCTTTTTATTTTGTTTCATTTCGCCTTTTGATTTATTGGATCCTCTGGAGGAGGCGAAGGGGGGTTAGGGGTGGGATCCGGGGCTTTCTCCTCACACTAACTCTACTTCTCCCTGCGTTGGCTCGCTACGGCTCTGCTGCCTCCGGCGGGAGCGGGGCCTGCCGGCGCCCCCTCACAGCCCCGGCCTCACCGCCTCCTCTCCCTTCACTCAACGCTGCTCTTGGTTCATACTTTTTCATTTTAAAATCTAAAAACATCCCCCACCCCCACCCCACAACTTTCAACTCCGTTGTTTGGGCTGGTTTGGTTTCTGTGTGTTCAACTTGTGCTCGGTACTTTTCTCCTCTCTGACTTTGTTTTTATTTTCTCTCTCTCTCTCTCTCTCTCTCTCTCTCTCTCTCTCTCTCTCTCTC